TGTTAAATTATTATTTTATATTTGAATGTTTCTGTTAAATTATTATTTTATATTTGAATGTTTCTGTTAAATTATTATTTTATGGATGAATGTTCCTGTTCAGTCCCTGAGATGATTCTGTGACTCGGAGATATAGAAATAAACAGAATTTAAACAGTGGTTCAAAGTGAGCAGTGCAACTTGTGATAAATAAAAATAAAAATCGCCCCCTATAAGTTTTAGAAAAGCCTTCAGTGTAATCTTACCTGGCAGGTGACAGGGAAACATTGAAGTCAAACTTCTCATCTTGCAGAAAGCACAGATCTGTTCAGAGAAACAAGTGACTCAAAGTGAAATGAAGTGAAACAAACGTGAAACAGCTGAGCTGAAGTACTGACCACCTCCAGAGTCCATCCTGCCGTGTGTCCTTGGGTTTGGGAAACAAACCGAATCGGTGGCGACACTTGGACACAGTTCAAACAGCGGCGGAATCCTCCGTTAACGATCACCAGGCGTTAGCCTAGCATAGCCACTCATTTGAGCTCGAATAAAAACGAACTGCAAACTGAGTTCTTTCAACTTCCAGCGAAACTCCTTCGACGTCACCGTTTAAATTTCAGAAAAGTACAAACCTCTATTCTCGGTTAACACAAAAATGATCTGCGTCGCATTCAAAACTGCCACATGAAAACACCTTACAAATAATTCAAATCTGCTGCGGTGATGGTCACGTGACACATTCCCATGCGCTCATTGGTTGAATTTGCGAGACGCACTTAAAACGGAAGTTTGGGACTTGTAGTTTAATGCCATATATGCTGTTCTCACTGCCTAGATTGAACTGGTATATAGACTTACAGGTGGTCTGACCTGTCCATACAAAAATACTCACTGTCCTCATATTAACCCTGCTAACCCTCATATTAACCCTGCTAACCCTCATATTAACCCTGCTAACCCTCATATTAACCCTGCTAACCCTCATATTAACCCTCATATTAACCCTGCTAACCCTCATATTAACCCTGCTAACCCTCATATTAACCCT